GTTTCTTATTATCTTCCAGCTGACCCTTTTTTTTCTGCTCCCTCCCTATGCGAAGGTGGATGGTGGTTGCGGAGCCTCCAGCGACTTTTTTTTTTGCGAGCTCCCAACAGCGCCATGTATCATATAAAACGACTTTGTCGATTTGTTTTTTTTTTTTTTCGTACGGGTGTTTGTTTGTTTATTTGTTTGTGGGCAGGTGCGCAGGGCGCATTGGGCGAATGAGCCGAATTGCATTTTCCTGTTGGTGTTTTTTTTGTTTGTGTGGTAGTGAGTGAAGAAAAGCCTCATTGAGATTGAGTGTTATTTTGTCTTTATTTATTTTTGAGGTTTTTTTTTCACTTGAGCTATGTAGGTATTGTTCTGTTGCTTTTCTGATATATTTATTTAATCTTTACTTTTATCTATGTGTGTTTGATAGCCTTTGCTTTCTCGTTGGCGTGTGGATGCAAAAGTGTTGGTGGTGTTATTTTTGCTTTGTTAGATATTTATTATGTGCTTGTTTTGGATTTTTTTGTTTGTTTTTTGTTGTAGCTGTCACGAGTATTTGTGGATGGGGGAGATTGGCGTGGCTGTGGTCTTTGTTTTGCTTTTTTCTGATTGGCTGCTTCCACGCGGATGTAGTGTTGCGTATGTTTGTGTTCTTGTTTTTTTTTGGCTTATGATTTTATGTTTGTCTAATTTTTTTGCGGTTTGCACAATGGACCCACAGTAGGAAGGGTGTGAGGAATGAAGCAGCCGTACAAGGCTACCTGGCGGGTGTATCTGCCGGGGTCGTTTGTCCTGGCGATTTACGCAGCTGCGATTTACTTCAACAAAACTCGTGGTGAGGTGGTTAAGTACGGTCACGATTTTGTGCCCATCTACTCGGAAGATGGGAAACTTGAGGGGTTCACGCATCCCGTGTTGGTGAAGGCCGGTGACAAGTACCGGAGCAGCGAGGAGTTGAAGGATAAGTCTGCATGATGAGAATTCCTCTTCGTAGCTGTGTTTTGTGGACGTTTTTTTTTTTTGTATGTATGCATGTTTGTGTGTGCTGTGTGTTTTCCTCTTAGCAGACATACCTATCTATCTGTACGTTTCTGGTTTCTCTTCTACGGCTGCTTCTCTTTTTCGATTCCCCCTGTGACTGCGGCGTTGTGTGTGTGTGTGTTAGTTGTGTCCACTAAGGATATACAGCCACGAGAATTGTTAGGATTGGTTTTATTGTTCTTATTGTAACTGCGGTGACGAGAAGGAAAGGTTTTGCGTATGTCCATTTTGACGTACAGTGGCGGCTCCTGTCTGGCAATGGCCGGCAAGGAGTGCTTCGTTGTCATCTCCGACAACCGCCTCGGTGAGCAGCTGAAGACGATTTCCATGGAGGTGCCAAAGCTTCACGTAATCAATGACGGTACCGTGTTGGGGCTCACTGGTCTTCGCACCGATCAACAAACCTTCGCCGCGAAGGTTCATTTCCGCACGGAAATGTACAAGCTACGTGAGGAACGTGATATTGGCGGGAAGGCGTTTGCAGCACTGATAGCATCTATGTTGTACGAGGCCCGCTTTGGCCCCTGGTTTGTGGAGCCGGTGATCGGCAGCATCGACAGGAAGACAGGCGAAGTGTATCTTTGCGCCATGGACCTCATTGGAGCCCCGTGCGAACCGGAGGACTATGTGTGTGCCGGTACCTGCGCTGAGAGTCTTCACGGTATGTGCGAGGCCTTGTGGCGCCCTGGGTTAGGGCCCGAGGAGTTGTTTGAGGTTGCCGCACAGGCAATGCTGTCTGCCTGTGACAGGGACTCGCTTTCTGGCTATGGTGGCGTGGCGGCTATTGTGACGAGGGACAAAATAGTCACTCGCCTCATCAAGGGCCGCAGGGACTAAACAACCGAGAGGGAGAGAGATGACACGTGCGAAGGGGTTAAGGGGGAGGAGCTGGTGCAGCTTTTTCCATTACAGTACCTTGCTCTGCCACTACTTTTTTTTTTTTTCGTTGAGCTCCTCGTATCTATCTATCAATATATATATCACGCACTACCCCTTTTTTTTGCAGATTGTTATAGGATCGTCTTCCAGAGCGCAACAAGGTGATCGATCCTTCTGCGTGCTCGGTACTCCTGCGGTGCCTGTCGGGTTTTCCGCTGCGTCTTTGCAACGTGCCCTTAAGGTGAAGGAGGGATGTCACCGATGTGTTTCATCCATTCCTTCATACTTGTCTTTTCTCTCCACTTTTTTTTTCTCCGTGTGTGTGTGTGTCTTCCCGTTTTTGTTTTTGTCGCCCTATTTCTTGCAGAAAAATAGGGCCCACAACAGGGCACAACATGCAGGCGTCACTGGCGCAGTTGGACGATGCGCCCATGCTTTTTTGCGAGCGGTGCAACAACCTCCTCTACCCGGAAAACGACCCTGTTGATCGGCAGATGATGTGGCGATGCAACTACTGCAAGACGGCCGAGGTACACGACGAGAACAAGCTGGTGTACATTCTAAACCTCAAGTTAAAGACGGGGACAACAGAGGAACTGGAGTTGCTAGCAGAATTTGCGAACGACCCAACAGCTCAGCGTGACCCTACTAAGCGATGCCGCCGTTGCGGCGAACACGACGTGACGTGCTTTGTGAACCCCCTCGGTCAGCCGCATGAAGACATGACCCTCTACTTTGCTTGTGCGAACCCAAAGTGTCGTCACGTCTGGAAGAGTGGCGATAGCCAAGAACAATAACGAAGGAAGACCGAACCAACACGACAAGGTACAAACCAAAAAGATGACGCTTATACTTCTTGACCATATATATATATATATAACATCATTGAACTCACATCTATATCTTTTGTTTGACGTTTGAACCTAAACTTGTGGCTTTTTTTACTTTTTTTTCTAGTCTTTACAATATTTTTGCGTTAACGCCACGTCCATCACATGTGGGGCATCTGATCTAGACGGAAGAGAGTGTGTGCGAGAGGGAGTGGGTTTGTGTCTCTGTTATGTACATCCTCGGGATTTCTATTCCCTTGGCATGCCTCTTGTGGCATCTTATATGTTGTATCCTCGCCGTCATTGAGTATGCGGTATGGTTGCAGTTTGTTTCGCCTAACGAGATGAGCGACTCGTTGCGTGGTGGGCATCTTGCTTTTGCCGTCATGGGCTTCGTCGCGTATGCGGTGGCTGCGGCACCGCTCTTTGTGTATGCGTACAAGTACGGGCTCTCATACAGCCAGCGCCAGAAACGGTTTGTATGTGGCGTCGCAGTGGTGTTTACCATGTGGTCGTTTCCGATTTTTGTCATTGAATTGACAATGGTGCTCTCCCACATGGGCGGGCGCAATCCACTCGATGGGATTGTCTTTGTTTTGAGTCTGATCTCGTCTGTCATCGGCGGGTGCATCGTGTGGTTCGCTTACATGCGTTTCGTGGCGTACTATATTCATCACTTCCGTGGTTCGGAACGGCGGATTGGCCTCCACGACAGCTTGGCCCTCTATCCCATGCATCCCATGCGCTCGGTACCGCGAGAGGGGCAACCAGACACGATTTAGAGTGTCTGTGTCATACCCCCTTCCCACAACGAGGCAACTGCGGTGAAAGTGACCGCTTAACGAGGAGAGTGGAGTGGAGGGAGTGACTGTCACTCTCCCCACCATGCATTTTTTGTACTTTAGCCGCGTGTTGCGGGAAATCAAGTGTGTAAGCAGCCACAGTGGGGCAACAGAGGAGGAGGAAGAAGAACAAGAGGTCGGTTCTCAATTCAGCTTGGTTTTGCACATTATACATAGCACTCGTGCGTCTACCACTTAGAGCTCCACTTTCTTTTGTGTTTCTTCGTCGTTTGCTGTTAGTCACTAATCTAGTGGTAATACAGGGTCACGTGACAGGTATAAAAGGCGAGAAGAATAACTGGTGAAGGTGGCAGCTTCCGCCTGTCATTGCTTGTCATGTCTTTGCATGCCCTTCAGACTGACGGTATCACTGAGTCGCTTGACAGTCATGCAAACCATGTGCATGTGAAGGAGACGCAGGATGCACACGGCAGACATGCGCAGGTCCGTGTTTTAAGCTACAACTTCAACATACTCCCTAGAGGCTGCGGAGGCTTCCAAAGTGAGCGCATTAACAGCTTTCTGAAGTGTGTCAATGAGTACGATGTCTTGCTGTTTCAGGAGGTCTATGCAGCTACTGTTCTGCCGTACTTTGTGCAGAAGCATGTCTGTTACCAGAAGCGCTTTGTGGATGAGCTGAAGGATCGTGGTTTCACACATTACGTCATATCAAGACAGCCGTCGTATCCAACAATTCTTCGCGAAAGCGTGCATTCTGATAACGGTCTCATTATCGCCTCTCGGTTTCCCATTGCGCACTGCGACTCACATACGTTTGACAGCAGTGAGCGCAGCAGCTCGGCTGTTCGGAGAGGCTGCCTTTTCGCGGAGGTCATGGCGCCTTCGCAGGACGGTGGAAGTGTGCCCATACTTTTCTTCAACGTCCACCTTCGTCAGGCGGAGGGTGCTGCTGCTACCTCTTTGCAGGTGATGGAGACCCGGCGATTTATTGACTCCGTGATTGGTACTTTGTACGCCGAGAACAATGAGGCGAGTAAGATTCCACTCGTGGTGGCCGGTGACTTTAACGTCAACGGCATTGGCCTTCACGACGGGGGGCAGCCGGCAAAGCCGTTCACGGAACTTGTGCAAGAGCTGCAGCCACAGGGGGGTGGGCTGAGTGATGTGATACTTGACGCTTACGGCCAACACCCCCCAACCCGGCCCTCAAAGCTGTTTTTTCCGTCCCGGTCAAAATTGAACCGAGACTCGCTGACGCCGCAAAGACAGGACTTTTTCTTTGTCACCCCTGCGGCAGAAGTTCGCATGGCATGCATCCGAAAGTTTGTGGCAAGCAGCAGAAGACCGTACGTGTACCTTTCGGATCACTTTGGTGTGTCCGCAACGCTGGGCGTCTGGGCAACGCAGCGGAGGGAGCCCTCGAAAACAGCGGTTCGTCCACTGACGACGGTGTCTATGCCTGAGGACATTGTTCACGAGCACTGCAATCCCCTTTTGAGCGTGAGAATGGAATTTGTTCCTTTACTTTTGCCAGCTTGCGCCGCGATGTACTTCAACTCTCTCATGCTATATGGGCTTGGGATCATATGGTTCCTACTGTGGTGGTTCATCTCACGTATCTATGCCCTAAGTGATGAGCGGCAATTCGCCACTGTGACAAGCGCCATTGTCGAGGGTAAGGAGGCCGTCACATTACTCCACCCCAAGGAGTATGCACTCCTGCATGAGGTCAAGAGCCTTGCGGAGATGTGGCAAAAAACGGTGTGCCTTCACAGGACGTTACGCTGTTTGGGACAAAACAATGAGACGGATCAGCCGGAGTGGCTCACGTACGCAGCCGTGGATGCAAAAGTGCGGGAACTTGGCTCAGGGCTTTCTGCCCTCGGCCTCGTCCCAGGGGATGTGATTGGGGTGGACTGCCAGGCGAGCAGGAACGCCGTCATTCTTGAGCTTGCTTGTGTCTCATATGGCTTTACCACATTGACACTAGTGGGAAAAAGTAACGCTCTTCGAACCCTTATTGATGGGCAATAATGTGAAGGTGGTATTTGCAAGCTGCAACGCTGTGGCATTTCTTTTAACCTGTCGCTCTCGGAATCTGGAGACGGTGATAAATGTGGATTCGTTACAAGATGCCCAGGACGAGGCGGTGGCGCGAGACGTTAGTATTACACTTCTCTCGTATGATGTGGTCTGCCACAGTGGCCGACAGCACCTTGTCGCACCGCCGTTGCACGTTGGTGAGAAAACGCTTTTCTCATTGGCTGTTGACACCGCCACGACGGGTGATCCTCTAAGCGTGGTTCGTGTGACGCATGCTGACGTGCTTCGCGATGTTCGTACTCTCGTTGCCACGGCCGTACTCCCGAACTCGCATGGGAAACATCTTATGGTACAGTTCGCACCTTTTTCTAAGCTGTTTAACCGTGTGTTCATCCTGGGCCTTTTTGCACACGGAAGTTGTGTGGCAACGTCGGAGAGCGCCAGCAGGCGGGCATTCACCACCTTCCGTCCTACCATCATGTTGGCTGCCCCCTCTTTATTTGCGACGAGTGAGATCGAACTGAAGCGACGCAATGAGCGATACGGGCGTGTTTACTCCTGGCTATTCGAGAAGGCGCTTCAAATACGCTCGGTCCTCATCAATGTGCACTGTCGGGACTCGTCGGTGTTGCGCTTTCTTTTCTTCCACGCCATCCAACGCAAGCTTGGCGGTCACGTCGAGAAAATCGTGCTATGCGTTTCGGAGGAAAGTGTGTCGTACCGACTGGAAGAGCATCTTACGGTTTGCTACGCGCCGTGCATGCGGGAGGTGTTCTTTACGCCCTCTGAGGGCGTCTTCTGCGTCGATGGTATTCCGGCGCCCGGCATTCGGGTTGAGTTGGGTCCGCTCGATGGGCCCTCGACGAAGGCTACGATTGGGCAGCTGGCCCTTGTGCGTGAGGGCGAGGCAAAGCATGTCCTGCCAATCGCGGCCATGTGGAATGATCACCGGACACTGCGGCTTATGGGGCCTCCTGGAGGTATTCTTTTGCCACTAGGAGGCGAGTACGTCGTGGCGGCGGAGCTGGAACGCCTCTTTGCCCAATCGCGGTACGTAAACGATATTTTTCTGTATGCACAACCGTCGCGACCCATTATTGCCATAGTGTCACCCAACCGTGACACGGTGGAATTTGAGTGGCAACAACAACACTCCACTGGCGTCCAGAATAATGGTGAGGGTGAGAGTGTCTCTGGTGCTGAGGTTGCGTTGTTGAGCTGGAGCGAACTTTCTCGTTACGCGACTGGACTTCTGCTTGAAGACTTTCGGTGTCTTGTGGACCTGAACGGTCTTCATGTGTCGCAGGTTCCAGGGTTTGTGCACCTGCACCCGCATCCATTTAAGGACCATGAGGACTTCTTGACCCCGTACGCGGGAATACGGCGCGAATATGTGGCTCGCTACTTTAAAGCCGTCATTGAGCGCTGCTACTCTGACGCTGACTCCTTGCTCGCTCCAACATCGAGCTACAGCAGTGGCGGTATCAGCAGCGATGATGACTCTACGGAGAAGGCCTCCTGTGATGGAGAATTTTCACTCCAGGTCCCCGTGGCCATTGACATCGGTGGAAGCTTTGCCAAGTTCCTCTACGTGAAACCTCCTGGCGTGTTTGATGTTCCTGACTACCTGGTGAATGAATCCTCTTCCCTTTCGGACCGAATCAATTTGCGAACCTTTAAGTTTTTTAACGATGCCCAAGTCTCAAAACGGCAGTCTCATGCCTTGACTTCCTTCACTGTCGGCAGAGTTCGCTTTGCAAAGCTGCCATCGAAACGTGTTCCCGATTTTATCACATACTTGGATGAGATTAAGGCACTTAATCTGTACCGCGAGGAATTCCGAAAAAGTATACGAGCAACTGGCGGTGGCGCATTCAAATACGCTGCACTTGTGAAGAATACGCTTCACAGTTCCTTTCAGGCAATGCGGGAGATGGACGCTGTGGTGCATGGCCTCGTTCTTGTCATTCGCTTGGCCCCTTCGTCCATTTTTACTGTGGACCCTCCGACTGGTATTCACTATCCCCACAAGTTGCACAGCCCTCCTGGAGATCCACTTTGGCCGTTTCCGTGCTTGCTTGTGAACATAGGCTCTGGTATTTCCATTATCAAGTGCCTTGGCCCGGACGGCTCACACGTGCGCGTTGGGGGAAGTCCCATTGGCGGGGCAACATTCTGGGGGCTTGTGCGCACCATGACGGACATGACCTCGTGGGAGGAGGTGATGGAGATCATGCGACTTGACGGCCCTGGTGATAACAAAAACGTTGACCTTCTCGTTGGCGATATTTACGGTTACAACGCGAAAGACCTTCCAGCGATGCTCTCAGTCGACACCGTCGCCAGTACATTCGGAAAATTCGGTACAGACCCCGCCTACGAAACGGTAGGGGGGTTATGGTCACAGAACAGCTTTGACGATGACCGCAGTGATGTGATCTCGCCCCCGGCAAAGTCGTCTCCCATCTCGCCGATGTCAGTCTCGAAAGGGAAGAAGAAGAAGCCGTTTGCCATGGATATCGTGCGATCGCTGCTGAATATGATCGCCAGCAACGTTACACAGCTGGCGTATCTGCATGGCCGCGTGCAGAACGTCCAAAATATTTTCTTCGCTGGTGGTTTCGTGCGCGAGAACCCCATCATTTGGAGCCTCATCAGTGCAACGCTGCAGTACTGGTCAAAGGGGGAGTGCCACGCCCACTTCCTCGAGCATGACGGCTACCTTGGGGTCCTGGGCTCCGCAACCATGCAGGTGGATGCAGAAATCGCAAGCAAGTAAAGGGCAGTGCGTTCACAAAAGGAAACATGCGGGTAAACTACAAACAACCCCCCCCCCTCTGTGAAACACAAACAAAAACAATGAGAAGAAAACAGTGGAATATATATATATATATATAACAACGAAACGGCCACAAAAATGTTAATATAACGAAAAAAAAAGAGATTTGGTCGTGGACTAGTTTTTGCCTCAGAGATGAAGCCAGAAAATGCCCAGCAAACACAAGGAGGAGACGATCGACATAAAAATGAGCTGCTCGTGTGGAATGGTCTATGAGAGTGAGTCCGCACCTTTTTTTGCTTCTCTTCTTCCTGCGAGGTTTTTCGTGTATTGAGGTTTCGGGTAGGGAGAGCAAAGGGGCGAGGCATCAGACCTATGATTTGGTTCTTGGTGACTACGTGGTTTTTTTATATTGTCGTTCTCCCTTTGTATGACCTCAACACTTTCCACGTGTGTTGCACAACGATTGCGTGTGGATTTGTACTTGTGGATTGCATTTTACATCAGTATTTTAAAAAGAAGCCTGTGGAAGGAATACGCCTCTCTTTTCTCCAACTCCCTCCCGATGCGGCTGAAGAAGTGAGAAAGCGACTTGTTAATGTGTATTGGTTTCTTTTCACGTGAATTGGTCTGTTTCTTGGGAGAATGTACTGACAGGCGGTGAGTGCAGTCGTTTTTATCATTGTTACTATTTTGCCTCCCAGCTGACCCTGACTGCCCTCCACGTGCGGGCGTGTCTGGTGGCTGTGGGGGTCCTAAAGACTGTCATCTCGTGAATTTGGAAGGAGGGCTTGTTTTCTTTTTTTTTTTTCTTTTTTTTTGTTGCTGTTTTTTTTTTCTTCCTTCCCGGGTGCTTTTCTGTATCCACTTTTTCCCCTTTTCTGTGCTTTGACAGCTTTGGGGTGAATTGGAAGTGATGGGAGGCACAGGCCAAATATGTTTTTGTTTCCGCTTGTGGTGTTTTCTCAGTACTGAAAGAAGAAGAAGAAAAAAAAATCACGGCTGCGCCTGGAGGCAGCCGCAGTAACGGAACGTACACGTGTTGTCGCACGATGACCGCGT